CTGATGCCCAAGGATCAGCCGACTGGTATATAGTCAACAAACGGCGGGGAAAACAATTATGGCTATAGAGCAGCGATGTGAACGACACTAAAACGGGACCATGATCTAGTGCACGTATACTATTTATTTAAAATTTTCACCTGGATAGAAGACAAATACCGATAGCTGTGCTCAACGGAAGCATTTATATGAGGAACTGCTGCCATATGGACCTTTTTGACTTAGGCCTATTTGGACATTTGGACCGACGCACTCGGTTCTGGGAAGAGCCTTTAGAAAATAAAACACGCGATTAACGCACCAACAACCTCGAAAACATCGTATTCTTAGACAACTTTCGCAATAGCCGAATGCGTATTTTGTTATGCTTCAACAATGAACCAGTAAAAAAAATCTGTTGCTAATCTAAGCGCCAGTTGCAGTATTTTTCATTGTGCAAGTCTATATTATCGCTGGGGTTGTTCGGGGGAACAACTAGTATTAGCGCAGCGTGAGATGTTTGTTCTGAACGCTACCGTTTGATCAAATAACTATCACAATCGAACAGTTGGTGACTGGCCACTCCGATCATTGATGAAGTGCGATCTTCGACGAAGACGTGAGGGTCACGACGGAACGAACAGAGCACATTCGATTTCTTATATTAAGGCGCATCAATGGAGCGTAGCGAACAGCCTTTCCGGATTCCTTGCCTTTACTTTGTACACACACGCATATATTCAATTAACTCTTTATTTCTCGTCTTTCTCTCACGTCCGATCGATCACTCTGCACTAGTCTCCCCTTGCTAGCTTTCGTGGCAAGGTGCAACTCACCGCCTATGGGGCAGACTGTCGCCTGACGCCGAGAAATGCTTTCCAAAGAACAATCCACCTGTAAATAAATGAAGATGATGATGAAAACGAGTCGATTCGTTGTGGCACATCAAGCGTCAGCAGCAAATGTGAACGAATTAAGGATCTTTTGGGGCACGAAATCGCGGAAAAATTCCTGTCGTCCCCCTCGTTTGATTGCTAGTTGCATCGCTTAAACGACGCAGGCGTTTCGTGCTATTTGCTGCCGGTAGAACATTATTACTAGTCAGCCACAGCTATGCGACCAGCGTCAACGGTAGCCATCTCAGCGAAAGCACGGGAAGAGTCAACTATCGAAGCGGCTGTAGCTACCGGCTCCGTTCGCAACGGCAACGCTTGGGACAGCGGGTAGTTGCCTGTGGGGCTCGACGACGACGACGTCCAATAGCGGAAACGCCGTGTGAGCCTCAAACATTGACGACGACCAAGATCGGACTTCTAGCTGACCACTAGCGCTATCGATAGTAATAGTAGTAGCACAGTTACCCAAATGGATCCGTTCCCATAGCGGAGCGACACGTCGCGTTTTCCGACAACTGCCTTTTCTCCGACGCATCGACAGTTCTTCAGTAGTCTCGTTCGATGGTCCAATAGCGTTGAACGGGCGTTTCCATCGATCTGTTCGTTTATCCCTCATTTCATATCAGAGTCAGTTTGTCATCCTCCAAAAACTTCGTCCGCAATCCCCAGCCCGTTGCCCCGCTCTCTGTCGGCTGAGCAGACGATCACTTTGCCGACGGCGACGAACCCGTTGCACAAATCAATGCTAATAGCTATTTACAGGTTACCGGAGCTATTCGTTACACCAAGTGGGCGTAATGACTACTGTTGTTGAATGCGCCTACCGCTACTGCCACCTCCACTCCTGAGGCAGCCATCGAGCCTACGTAAGGTTGCTCCGCCCACGAAACTTTTTTTCTACCCTCCCTCACCACAGTAGCAGCAGCACACAAGAACGAGTCCATGGCAGCTAGACCCAGCAGGTAGCTTTGATGTGCTTAAGTTATAGCATCCACAAATAGCGCCCGTCGGTTGGTCGTATACGTTAAATGATGGTAAACCCGTGGAACGCTTACAGCCAACTGATCAAATGGAATGTATGCAAACAGAACTGAAGTTTCGTTTGTCTTTTCAATTTACCATAGGACGGATAAGGTCGGGGGGGGGGGGGGGGAAGGGGTGGTCGTTGACGAGACGACCGCGACCACCCTTCCGTAAGTGTGCACCGTTTAAAGTAAATATTCGACTATCATTTTGGTGCCTTTCATTGACTAGAGAGAACTTGATTAGCGGTAACTTGATGATACAGACAAAATTATTGACCAATTACGATGCAATAAACTCTTCAAGGGTGGCTAGTCAGGCGGTACATATTAGGCTGGAAGAAAATTCTAGACCAATTAAAATAGCCGAAAAGTAATTAGGATGAATAATGAAAAAAAAACGAAAATCTAAATCATTTCAAATTTTCAAATTAATTGTATATGACATTCTATGAAATAAGCTTAGGATTAAATTAATTCTACGAATCTTTGGAATCGAGTTAAGCCGCCTTAGTCTTAAAATGTTTCGTACACCATTTAGGACTATATAAGAAATAAATCTATCAGCTAACGACAAAAGTTTTTCATAGATGATCTATTTAAAGAAAACACTAACTTAACTTTCATGTGCTTTGGCGAACGCTCCAAGCATGCGTATTGAGGAGAAGTTACAAATGCAAAAAAAACTAAGGTATATTTTACGTGAAACTGCGTTTAATTTCTACGTTCTTAATAATGTTGTTAGGAGACAACGAACGGGAGAAGACTCTGCCTGTCAAAGCGCAGTATATAATATACCTAAAATGTATTATGATAACAATAGCTTAGCTAGTTTATAATTCGACTGTTTCAAAACGCGGACCATAGAGCAATAACAATATTTTTGATGACGCAGTTGTCATGCTCGCTCTTTTAATGTAATCATCTTCGGAGCAGGTTCCGATTGCCCCGGGGCCATTGCGCTAAGCCTAGAGCCACGATGGGGTCAAATGGCCACAACGCATCGATCACCCACGGCGTTCTCAACTCGCTCAAACGACGAGTCAGGTGGATTGAAAGGATCCGAAGAAAGACTAAGCCGACAGGGATCAACCAGTAAAGGATCGGCAGGACAGGTCTGAAGGACATCCAACCACTAGGAACACCGCTACTACTACCGCTGGTGTCTAACCATTCCTTGTCTTTGACCTCTTTTCGTCCTCGCTATTTTGTCGTGTCCTGCCACGCTAACCCCAGTTAGTGTTGAATCACCTGTTTTGCCCCGTCCCCTTCAATTCCGTATTCATATAAACACATAAGATATCTTCAAACGAAAACTTGTCTACAATTCACTGTCGCTCCTTGTAGACAGTTCAGAAAAATGAGAAGAGGACAAGGACAATGAGAAAGAAATCCATTCATTTGCTGGCGCTTCTTCAACTGGTGCTTATTATGGTGTCTCTATTTAATCAGGGAGAAGCTGTCACGAGGTTGATAAATACCAATACCAGTACCGTAAAAGCCACTGCTGTTGTATAAGCGTGATCTTTTTCTGTAGATCTTGTTTCGATTGTAGTCCGCCAGAAACAGCGGCGATCCTTTAACGCCATCATCCATGTCCGACCTGGCAAAGCGATTACGCCAAGCGAAGCAAATGCGCTATGTACCGCGATTGGTTCGACGTTGCGGTTGATGCGGCCGAATCAAACGAAGCAGTAAACTCGAAAGCTGGGAGGCGTAGTAGCACGCATGAACAACAAGCAATTGATGACTTGAACTACCGCTAACCTTAGACGAAATAACGTATGCATCCTACCTCGTTTATCGCGTCGCTTAGACGGGAAGAACAGCACAGGGTCGATGGCTCGAGCTTCCGAAGATTGAAGAGCGTCCTCCCACAAGAGAAAGGTATAGGGAGACAATTTGTTCTTTCTCTGCCAGGCCATCAGAACGCAAAGCAATGAAAAATCTTTCGCCTCGTGGGTGATGGGGTTAACCACTTGATGCGCCGTTAGAGGTGGTCGCTGTCGCTGACGGTCGTCTTGCCGCACTGTAAAACTGCCCACACCCAGGCATTTCCAACGGGGAACCAAGATATTCTGCCAAACAACCCGATTCAGCACAACGGAGACAGGCAATTAAAAGTAGCCATAGCGGCGAAGGCGTTTAATGTTTTCATGTATTTACAGACACAGTAACAAACATTCACACAGGCGTCGTTCTCTTGTTCCATAGAGGAAGTGTAGATATCGCCAGTGGAATGACGCGTGATCAAGCGTGTCGGCATCCGCTCAGTCGTGTCAAACGACCAAAGACTTGTACTGCGCGACACTATATCGACGCTATAGCGGACAATAACGACAAGAACAACAAACTATCCGCGCAAATTTAAGAAGGCTGCGACGAGGCAGACTGCGAGGAGCCCGCAACAAGCAGCCCGAACTCTCTGCGTTGGGTTATATCTACTGATTGGAAGGCCACCGACGAACGCTATTCTTCGAGTGGCGTCCGCGCGACGCTAGACCCGGGGAACCGTTTATGCGGCACAGGTTCAGTACTGGCTTACGCAAGGGTGGTCCCAAAACGCAGGAGTTCGACGCGTAATCCAATAAGGCGGACATCCAGCTGACTAGTCAAAGCCTAAAGGAGTAGCGGGCAGAATTGTCTCTCCACAAATACTGCAAGTGGATTCAGGTTTAAATCAATCAACGGACGAAATTAGGTATCCTATAGATATCTCTCGTAGGACCAGAAAGCTCAGTAAATGGGTTTGGTTTACCTGACTATTTTTAGGCCAACTTAGTCAAGTTGAAAGCAATAAAAACACTCTATAGGCTGAAACAACTCGAAGTAAACTAAGATCATAAATCAGTCAGATCCGACGCATAAAGGAAACATAATTTGAGCCTGGTATCAATCAGACGAGAAAGGTCGCTTCAGAAACCTAGGATGTTACCCTGAGCCAACATTTGGGTAGCAATTGTGAATCGAAATCTAGAGTAACGTTAATGACTCGGTAATGATGATCTTCACTAATGTACTCACCATACATTTTTTCGTATAAATATTATTTATTCACTGGATATTATATTTATATGTCGATGATATTCTCTCTCGGTTTCAGAACAAAATGTCGTTAGAACATCATACCGGTTCGCATCTCCAAAAGGGTGAGTAATACAAGCCAATGTTTAATATGCTTTTATAGGTTCTGACCTTTTACTCTGATGCGTACATCATGAACAAGAACATACTTCCTTTTGAGAAGGGGCACGGGAGACGAGGGGGGGTAATACTGAACTAGTCGTCTGTTTACATTTTTTTCTTTTTGCTTGAAATGACGACTTTTTCCATTATTTTTAATTTATAGGTGAGGATATAAACGCAACCAATTTATAGTAGTTCGACACGAATTTATATGTTTGTTCAGAAGTAAGCCATCATTAATCTTCTGGTATTAATCACCGTTTTAACAGAGGGATATTTCGCGAAAATTTTTAACCGAAAAAACTACATCCCGTATGTCAAAATGGACAAATGAACATTTGAAAAAAATAGATATTACGAAAAGTCTTCGATCTGTAAATATGAATCTTGTTATCATTAAAGTGAGAAAGAAAACTTTACCTTTTTGATAAGTTACAGACAATTATACTACGCACCTTTAGGTAAAGTTCTACTCCTGACCATATAATAAATAATTTTACTAGATAATATCCCGGATATCCGACTGCGCATGACATATCTGCCCTCTACCACAAGAACTATATAAAGAAATATTGTTTCCAAACAGACGCTAAGCCAGAGCCTTCCCCGTTCCGCTAACTCCCTCTATCGATTGAAATAATTTTTTCGCTTGAGATCAACTAGACATCTATTAGACGTTAGGCTGCACGAGCTCCGCCTTCTAGTTATATGTATATGTCATTATGCTCACTTTGCTCTTACGGCACAAGTCGGATCTTTTCTCACACAGAGTCTTTTAAAGTTGACCCTGTGCCTACGGTTGCAATGGCGTCTTCCCAATATACTACACAGACTTCATTCATTCTGCCTTCGTACATATCTGTCACCCAGCGTGTTGCTCCCAAATAAGGCGAGTCATTTGACTATACCATGGTTATATTTTTAGCTTTAATGTTTCTTCAAGTTCCCCTGCGCATCACAAGCGATTACCATCCCAGGCGCTCGCTAAACCAAACGACCAACATTATGTACACAAATAAGCAGAAATTAGGTTTGGCTGTCTATGCGATTTCACCCGTCCCGTAGCCCCGTTTTTCTCTGGGTAAATAAACTTTTCTGTGAACCTGGCGTGCTGTTACGGTGAAAAAAGCCTGAAGCTTTTCTAGCTTGCGTAAAAGCACACAATTACTCTTCAAAGCTTCATTCTCAAGGCGTACAAACATACAATGAAGTAAAGCACCAACTATAAGAGACGCTGGTGCTCTTTAGAGTGTAGAGTACATTGAAGGTGTACAGTATACATATGTAAGCACTACCCAACGGAACCGCAATGTCTATACGGGTTCCAAAATACAACAGAGCCGGACAGCCCCCAATCGTGCAGAGAAACAGAGTACGATATTGGCAAGCTTTGGGCCTCGAAAGTAGGGGCACAGTTGGCTCATGACGGACAGCCGCCCATAGCAGCGGAAACCGCGCAGTCAGCGCCGTCTGCACCCGGGGGCAAAAACACTGAGAACTAAAAACACTTTTAATTAGCGTCAATATCCATCTCCCGGGCAAACCTGAGGGGTCTTGACGTTCGCCCTTCTTCAGCACTGGACAAGAGCTAGGTTAGAGTAGCCGAACAGAGAAGCATGTGAGGGCTACCGTTGACTCTGGCGTTTCTGATGTCCCCTACCTCACTCTCGCTAGCAGCCTGCTCACGGTCGAGGTTTCTCATGCCAGACTTCACCCACCCTCTGGTACTGGATAGGCAAGACGCTCCCTCCCCCCACCTCCACCTCTGTCCCTATATCCCTTACCGTTTCTCCTTTTCTTCTCTTGGTCAGCAACATTTTAAGGGTAAGGATGATACTGCAGAGACCCGCTAGCTGTTTTAGTAATCAGCAGTACGATGCTCTTTGGTGCGTCGTAGAAACTGGGGAAACACATTATAAAATTACTGGTCCAGTCGCCGCTATACAGTTGCGGTACGCGCTAACCTCAGTGGCTGCTGCTACTTCATCACAGAATGAGTGGGGTGTTCTCTCCGGTGATGGGTGGTCATCTAGTGGCCAAGCGCCACTCGCTGATGGCCTGTCTGTATGCCCCCGACTTGTCGATGTACTCGTCGCGTTTTCTGACGCGAGCGTTCTTTAGCAATCCCCACATAGCAGTGAGGCGAGTACGATAGATGAACGGACGATGGACATACAATGGATACATCTAGCATGCACAAGGGTGAAAAAATCGTACGGCTGGGGAATAGGGAGTTACCGAAACCTGGCTGCTGGTAAAGTGGACCCCTTGAACAGCGACGGACATCATTACCAGCCCAATGCGGGCGCCACTTACTTTTTAATTATACCGGCCGACAAAGCGGCTATACGTCAGAAAAGATGCAGTAACAATAATATATATTGTTAATACACATATATATATATATATTCATGTGAGTGGTACGGAAAACAAGTTCGTTTGTGTACGCAACTTGATGGCAAGGTACTTCTACTAGGATTTATGGACTTAAGATAGTTACGCGCCCCGCTTGGTAACAGATAACAGTCGACGGAATGATATGCGCGTTTGGGCGTAGGCACACCAACTGTTTTTGTCTAACTCCTTGCGGTCTGGAGCGATAAATTGATACTGGGTAGTGCAATTGTTTCGAAAGGCCAGTTAAAAATTTGGCTTAATATAGTCTTCACGCGTAAATCCATCGATGTGGCTTCACCACTGAAAGTGGCAAAGCCCTTGCCGATTATCATGAATGAATACTACACGAATATTGATATAATTTTCGTTAAAAATTGCATACGATCTTACATCGATGAAGGCCTATTTGACAGTCTGAGAGGCTTCATTTTGCGTCTGTTAAAATAGACAGAAAGTAAATAAAATATAATAAAAGGTGAATAAAAGCTGAATGCTCTTAAACTGTCAAGTGATATTTGTTGAACATGTCACAATATGTATATATACAGTATTAGGTAATAATAGATCACTTGGGCCGAGCTCATTTATACCGTTCTTTACATATAGCTCGGTAAATTGTGTAAGAACATGTTAGTAAAAAAAAAAAAATAAGCGCTCGAGGGGTTTGGCTATTAATACCTTGCAACTGCAATTAGAAACGACCCATTAACACTAGTGGCATCATTGTTATGTGTCATAATTATTTTTATGATCGTACCTGTACTTTTGAGGTAGATTCAATGCAGACATTATGCGTTATGCTGTTCTGAGATATTTAGCCGTATGTAGGCCTTTTAACGATGAAGAAGCCTATCCGCAATGTCTTTTCTTGTTCTATATTTAGACAATACGTTTTTTTCCATAAATTAACAAACAACAAAAAAGTGCTAAAAAAAAAAAACTCTTCCTTGTCTTGAAAAGCATTCCGATTCAAAAATGGGAACGAATTTAAGCTATGACAGTTTAAAGGCATATTACGAAGGTAAACTTTCTCACTAGTTATTAACACTATCATTTATGCGTGCCAATTGTTTCAGGCGGGGATACCAGCTCGCTATCGTACATGGCACACAAGGGCATGCTGCAACCAAAGCAGGAAAAGGGTTTGGGAGGCCCTGCGAGTCCGTTGGGTCCTAACCAGGTAGGCCAGAGTGCGCCATTGGCCTCCAGCCCACACTGCATCTCTCCACTTAGCCTTAGTCCATCCCAGGGAACGTTAACCCCTTCCAGCCAAACTCCAAATAGTGAACACCTCCAGTCGACTCGGGTTCCCCAATCTTCCTTCCGGTCGCAGTGGCCTCACCATACTCCAGGTAAGAAAAACGATGTACGAAATGAGCGCTATGTTAAATACGTCACAAACATACTATCCCAGTGGTGGCTGAGGCGATAGCTAGGCCAGTGTCACAAGCTGGTTTGGCGTAAGTCGCTTACTCGGATCTGGACACGTGCCCGAAAGTTTTTCAGAAGAAAGCTTTGCTAGATGGATAGATGAATGGAAATAGAGAAACTATTACAAACAACGCCGGAAGGACACACGTAGGCTGCGCGATTGCAAGGCTAAACGCGCACTCCTTATGGCTTGCCGCAACAGCGTTCAAAGGACGCCAGAACCGGGAAGCCAACCCTCCATGTTGAGGGCATTTCTTTAGACCTTAGGTCGCATAGGTGAAAAAAGCGGTACATCTTGTTTCTAAAGCGACACATCTTTGATAAATCATGACTGGCTTGTGGGTTTAAATAACGCAACCGGGAATAAATAAGCAAAAAACATTAGTTGACTCCGTATATGAAGAAAAGGTAAGTCAGGGATGAGCTAGGGAGACATTTTTTTCAAACAGAACACAAAAATCATTCTATTAAGCGAACAGTTCCTAACGCAGACGTGCTCTTCTTACCACTGTGAAAACCTGCTAGCGCTAGTGTTAATATCAAGCGTAGCACTGCCGGTTAAGCTGAAAACTTAATACATTTTCAACTAATTGCGCTGAATAATTCGTTAAAAGGTAGCCTTCCATATTAAATTTAAAAAAAAAGCCTTTCCTCTAGTCGCGTTCAATGGCTGACGGATTTTGTCCTGGACCCGAGTTCAAGATAGTTACATGCCCTACTCATTAAAGTTTTATTTAGCGTAAACCTTTGGATCTTTGTCAGAAGCTTACTTAACATCATTGTTATCTAATGCCTTCACTATATGAAACAAACATATGTAGCTCTTTTTTTTTTTTTTTTTTTATATATACTATGTTGTCTATACACTAAGCACGTGAGCTGTGAGATGGTGCCACATGTATAAAAACCTGGGAAATATGCATTTCCTAATCGACAGTGCAGAAATCTCGTCGGACGACTCGCTACAGCTATCTTTAATGTACCCTATATTATTCTAACATGATTTAAGTATCTAATAATATTGTATGTTTTTTTGTATTAAATGAGAATTTATAATGTGATGGTCTAGTGACTGCGAGCGCGTGAGCGCTGTTGTCAATCTCAATTATTCTTTCTCTCATACATCAATGGTACTCACGACCACTGATGAAACTAGATTGAATAATCTATGTAGTTGTACATGTTTGCTATGTGATAACTCTCACAGCAAGAATCACTTCTTACATTACGAGGAGTGAGATTGAGTAGTGTAACTGATAGACATTTGCACCGCTGTTTCATTCGTAGATTCAGTGTTAGGAAGAATCTTTTTTGTCATAAAAAATATGCGAACGATAACTATAGGCCCAGAAAATTTCTTATGAGATATTATATGAGGAAATGTTGACTACGTTGCGCGCTGAACTGAATGTGTTTTGCCTGATCAATTTAATAGGGTTTTTTTTAACGCACTACTCTATATTATTTCGTCTTTCTGTATACTGGGCAACTCAGCCAAGCGCACGGAAAAAATCTACACCGCATTTTACATAGGATCATCTTTTATCAAATTTATTGTAGATAAAATGGAGCAAGTTGCTTCCTGTTATGGAAATCATACAGCAGTAATTTTACTGACATACTCACAACACCATTACGAGTGCATCGAACTTCAAATGAAGCCTAAAGTTATCCTGCGAGTGGGTTATGAGAGAAGAGCGAAATTTTTAAGGTTTTCAGCATTGCGTTAAAACGGAGGTCGTACCTACACAGCATAGTCTTAATAATTATGCGATATAGTATGCTTACTGAATATTACCGACTCATCAAAAGCTAAGTATATTTGCTTACCAGAACTAAATCTATATTTTTCGCCGTTTCTTCTGAAGGAACGTTGCTCCACAAATACCGCTGAATGATTCGCCGCTGTATAGTTCTAGTATTGCTCACCGGTAATTTCTGCAATGCGTCCACGATGCCCATTCTATGCGTCTTACAACTTTTCCTCCTGACTGACGTGTTCAGATTTTTAAAAAGGATTTAATTATTTAGTTTGGGAAATTTAGACACATGAACTAATAGCAGTACTAACAACTATAGTTGACGTCGCTCAAGAGCGCCAGTTGCGGTTGAGATACGGCTTTACAAATGGACTCATTGGTGGCTTGTTGCGCTGAAGGGAAGGCTTAACAAGTGGCTGATTTGACCGTCATTTCTTCACTACCACAACTTCGTTTTGTGTAAGAAGCGACTTTGCTAATGCTGGCACTACTTTCGTTTCGTTGATTGCCTGTAAATAGGTACCATTTCTGCTTGCGGCTTGTTCGTAGGCGTGAAAAAAAAATTTAATAGTAACCAGAATTATGCGGTAGCCGGTAAAGTTAGTAATATCTGGCACTCTCTTTTTTGGTCTTTTTATATTGAACAATAAGCATAGAACGAAGTGCGCGTGCACAAGGGAAATTGTAGTCACTGTAGCATTCTTAATAACAATAAAAATGTTAGTAAAATCTTTGTGTGTGTATGTGTGTGTGTGTGTGAGTGTGTGTGTGTGTGTGTGCGTGCGTATGCAAAACGTTTCTTCGCCGCACTGGACTGACTTAGAGGTTAAATTAGACTTTGAGGTAGACAGACCGATGGTCATTGAAGAAAAAGGGCTCAATTTAAATTAGTGAAAATGGTAATTGCGACGAATACTACAGATACTTTTGATATTTAAATGTTAGAACGAAATGTTCGGTTGTTTCCCGATGTAGCAAGTTTTCGTTTCAAATAACGGTAATGGTTCTATAAGGGAGTCGGATAAAAATGGCTTTTTATATATATTATATTTAAAGATGATTCGCATATATATGTATATATTTTTCTGGGAGACTATATGCATCTTTTGGTAGTATAAGTGCAATATTAATCCATTTATTATTTATAAAAAGAAAAAAACTAGATTTTACTTATAAAAAAAGCATTTATACCTCATAAATATGGTTTTGAGTAGAATATACAGAGTGGGATCTTAGTGGTCTAGTAATTCGCTAGCGTTCCGGTCTTTTCGTAACGATCTTAACCTAGTAGTTGGCTAAATGAAACTTGTAGGTTACCCAATGGATGACAAAAAAAATTGCAAAAATCGTTTGGACGAATCTGAATTTCCGAAAAATCGAAATTTAAAAAAAGTTAAAAATCGTAGCTCATGATAATAATAATAATAATAAAAATAGTTGTTCTTATTGTCATTATACTCCTGATCCGATTCTACTCATTTTTCGAACACAACATTTGCTTTGCTTTGTTTTGCACAACATTGCAGATGTTTGTTGTTCGATGTCCCTATTCAGCTTGCTTACTTGTGGCTATCTTTTGTTTTTTATATACA